TATTTTCTAACACAGTGTTATATGGTAAGTTCTCATTAGGTTAAGCACGTAGCTTCAAACACAATGCTGTATTGTAAGTTTTGAAGAAGTTAAGCACTTAGTTTCACATACTGTGTGGTGTTGTTAGTTTTCATGAAGTTAGGTATGTAGTTTCTCATATAGTGTTATATAGTTAGATTTAATGAAGTTAAGCACATAGTGTCACACACAGTGTTGTTTCGTTAGTTTTGAAGAAGTTAAGAATGTAGTTACTAACACAGTGTTATATGGTAAGTTCTCATTAGGTTAAGCACGTAGCTTCAAACACAATGCTGTATTGTAAGTTTTGAAGAAGTTAAGCACTTAGTTTCACATACTGTGTTGTGTCATTCGTTTTCATGAAGTTAAGTACGTAGTTTCTCATAAAGTGTTATATAGTTAGATTTCATGAAGGTAAGCTTGTAGTTTCACACACCTTGTTGTATCATTAGTTTTGAAGAAGTTAAGCACTTAGTTTCACATACTGTGTTGTGTCGTTCGTTTTCATGAAGTTAAGTACTTAGTTTCTCATATAGTGTTATATAGTTAGATTTCATGAATGTAAGAATGTAGTTTCACACACAATGTTGTATCATTGGTTTTGAAGAATTAAACCACTTAGTTTAACATACTGTGTTGTATCGTTAGTTTCCATGGAGTTGAGTACATAGTGTCTCATGTAGTGTTATATAGTTAGATTTCATGAAGGTAAGCACATAGTGTCACACACAGTGTTGTATCGTTAGTTTTGAAGACTTTAAGAATGTAGTTTATAACACAGCGTTATATGGTAAGTTCTCATTATGTTAAGCACATAGCTTCAAACACAATACTGTATTGTTACTTTTGAAAAAGTTAAGCACTTAGTTTCACATACTCTGTTGTGTCGTTAGTTTGCATGAAGTTAAGTACGTAGTTTCTCATATAGTGTTATATAGTGAGCTTTCATGACGTTAAGCACATAGTTTCACACAGAGTGTTGTATGGTTAGTTTTCATGAAGTTAAGTACGTGGATTCTCACATAGTGTTATATAGTTAGATTTCATGAAGTTAAGCATGTAGTTTCACACCAATGTTGTATCATTCGTTTTGAAGAAGTTAAGCACTTAGTTTCACATACTGTGTTTTGCCGTTAGTGTTCATGAAGTTAGTACGTAGTTTTTCATATAGTGTTATACAGTTAGATTTCATGAAGTTAAGTACATAGTGTCACACTCAGTGTTGTATCGTTAGTTTTGAAGAAGTTAAGAATGTAGTTTCTAACACAGTGTTATATGGTAAGTTCTCATTAGGTTAAGCCCGTAGCTTCAAACACAATGCTGTATTGTAAGTTTTGAAGAAGTTAAGCACTTAGTTTCACATACTGTGTTGTGTCGTTAGTTTTCATGAAGTTAAGTACTTAGTTTCTCATATAGTGTTATATAGTTAGATTAATTGAAGGTAAGCATGTATTTCACACACAATGTTGTATCATTAGTTTTCAAGAAGTTAAGCACTTAGTTTCACATACTGTGTTGTGTCTTTAGTTTTCATGAAGTTAAGTACGTAGTTTCTCATATAGTGTTATATAGTGAGATTTCATGACATTAAGCACATAGTTTCACACACAGTGTTGTATGGTTAGTTTTCATGAAGTTAAGTCAGTGGATTCTTATGTAGTGTTATATAGATTGATTTCATGAAGTTAAGCATGTAGTTTCACACACAATGTTGTACATTAGTTTTGAAGATGTTAAGCACTTAGTTTCACATACTGTGTTGTGTCATTAATTTTTTAATGAATTTAAGTACGTTGTTTCTCATATACTGTTATATAGTGAGATTTCATGAATTTAAGCATGTAGTTTAACACACAATGTTGTACATTAGTTTTGAAGATGTTAAGCACTTATTTTCACATACTGTGTTTTGTCGTTAGTTTTCATGAATATCTAGTTTCTCATACAGTGTTATATAGTTAGATTACATGAAGGTAAGCATGTAGTTTCACACACAATGTTGTATAATTAGTTTTGAAGAAGTTAAGCATTTAGTATCACATACTGTGTTGTGTTCTTCTTTTTATGAAGTTAAGTACATAGTCTCTATTATAGTGTTATATAGTTAGATTTCATGAAGGAAAGCACATAGTGTCACACACAGTGTTGTATCGGTAGTTTTGAAGAAGTTAAGAATGTAGTTTCTAACACAGTTTCATATGGTAAGTTCTCATTATATTAAGCACGTAGCTTCAAACACAATGCTGTATTGTTAGTTTTGAAGAAGTTAAGCACTTAGGTTCACATACTGTGTTGTGTCGTTAGTTTCCATGAAGTTAAGTACGTAGTTTCTCATATAGTGTTATATAGTGAGATTTCATGACGTTAAGCACATAGTTTAACACACAGTGTTGTATCGTTAGTTTTCATGAAGTTAAGTACGTGGATTCTCATATAGTGTTATATAGTTAGATTTCACGAAGTTAAGCATGTACTTTCACACACAATGTTGTATCATTAGTTTTGAAGAAGTTAAGCACTTAGTTTCATATACTGTGTTGTGTTGTTCGTTTTCATGATGTTAAGTACGTAGGTTCTCATATAGTGTTATATAGTTAGATTTCATGAAGGTAAGCATGTAGTTTCACACACAATGTTGTATCGTTAGTTTTGAAGAAGTTAAGCACTTAGTTTCACATACTGTGTTGTGTCGTTAGTTTCCATGAAGTTAAGTACGTAGTTTCTCATATAGTGTTATATAGTGAGCTTTCATGACGTTAAGAACATAGTTTCACACACAGTGTTGTATCGTTAGTTTCCTTGAAGTTAAGTACGTGGAATCTCATACAGTGTTATATAGATATATTTCATGAAGTTAAGCATGTAGTTTCACACACAATGTTGTATCATTAGGTTTGAAGATGTTAAGCACTTAGTTTCACATACTATGTTTTTTCGTTAGTTTTCATGAAGTTAAGTACGTAGTTTCTCATATAGTGTTATATAATTAGATTTGATGAAGGTAAGCATGTAGTTTCAAACACAATGTTGTATCATTAGTTTTGAAGAAGTTAAGCACTTAGTTTCACATACTGTGTTGTGTCGTTAGTTTTCAAGAAGTTAAGTACGTAGTTTCTCATATAGTGTTATATAGTTAGATTTCATGAAGTTAAGCACATAGTGTCACACTCAGTGTTGTATCGTTAGTTTTGAAGAAGTTAAGAATGTAGTTTCTAACACAGTGTTATATGGTAAGTTCTCATTAGGTTAAGCACGTAGCTTCAAACACAATGCTGTATTGTAAGTTTTGAAGAAGTTAAGCACGTAGTTTCACATACTGTGTTGTGTCATTCGTTTTCATGAAGTTAAGTACGTAGTTTCTCATATAGTGTTATATAGTTAGATTTCATGAAGGTAAGCTTGTAGTTTCACACACATTGTTGTATCATTAGTTTTGAAGAAGTTAAGCACTTAGTTTCACATACTGTGTTGTGTCGTTCGTTTTCATGAAGTTAAGTACTTAGTTTCTCATATAGTGTCATATAGTTAGATTTCATGAATGTAAGCATGTACTTTCACACACAATGTTGTATCATTAGTTTTGAAGAAGTTAAGCCACTTAGTTTCACATACTGTGTTGTTTCGTTAGTTTCCATGAAGTTGAGTACATAGTGTCTCATATAGTGTTATATAGTTAGATTTCATGAAGGTAAGCACATAGTGTCACACACAGTGTTGTATCGTTAGTTTTGAAGACGTTAAGAATGTAGTTTCTAACACAGTGTTATATGGTAAGTTCTCATTATGTTAAGCACGTAGCTTCAAACACAATGCTGTATTGTTAGTTTTGAAGAAGTTAAGCACTTAGTTTCACATACTCTGTTGTGTCGTTAGTTTGCATGAAGTTAAGTACGTAGTTTCTCATATAGTGTTATATAGTGAGCTTTCATGACGTTAAGCACATAGTTTCACACAGAGTGTTGTATGGTTAGTTTTCATGAAGTTAAGTACGTGGATTCTCACATAGTGTTATATAGTTAGATTTCATGAAGTTAAGCATGTAGTTTCACACACAATGTTGTATCATTAGTTTTGAAGAAGTTAAGCACTTAGTTTCACATACTGTGTTTTGTCGTTAGTTTTCATGAAGTTAAGTACGTAGTTTCTCATATAGTGTTATACAGTTAGATTTCATGAAGTTAAGTACATAGTGTCACACTCAGTGTTGTATCGTTAGTTTTGAAGAAGTTAAGAATGTAGTTTCTAACACAGTGTTATATGGTAAGTTCTCATTAGGTTAAGCCCGTAGCTTCAAACACAA